GCGAAAATATCCTGTCCATAAAAATAAGAAATCTCTGCTACAAGCAGAGTCCATTGTCTCATTCCGACTGTATCACAATCATGTGTTTATTTATTTGTTGTTTAACGCCTCTCTCAGCAATAGTCCAGCTATATGATGGCGGTCTGTAAATAATCGTGTCTGGATCCACGCAAATGAGATACGATGATATTCATCAATCAAGTCAGCGAGCCTGACCACCTGATCCCGTTAGTCGCCTATTCAAACCCGGATCTTCGCGTATAAATTAGTGATGATAACGGTAATGAAACATTTATTAACTTCTCAAAGTTGGGTGTTATCGCAATATACACAGCTGTTGTGTTTCCGTCTCCTGGAAGCCTTTTCATTGTTTGTTTGTTTGTTTGTTGTTTAGCGCCGCACTCAGCAATATTCCAGCTATATGATGGCGGTCTGTAAATAATCATGTCTGGATCCACGCAAATGAGATACGATGACATGCATCAATCAAGTCGGCGAGCCTGACCATCCGATCCCGTTAGTCGCCTCATACGGCAAGCATGGGTTGCTGAAGACCTATTCAAACCCGGATTTTCGCGGGTTTATAAATTAGTGATGATAACGGTAATGAAACATTTATTAACTTCTCAAAGTTGTCTGTTATCGCAATATCCACAGCTGTTGTGTTTCCGTCTCCTTGAAGCCTTTTTATTGTTTGTTTGTTGTTTAACGCCGCACTCAGCAATATTCGAGCTATAAGGCGGCGGTTTGTAAATAATCCGAGTCTGGACCAGACAATCCAGCGATTGACATCATGATGCGATGACATTCAGATAGCCTGACCACCTGATCCTGAGCATAGGATTCTGAAGACCTATTCCAATTTCAGAGCTGAGGCAATCCAGACTCGCTTTAACATTCAAAGCTTTAGTTTGATTCATTTTTCTTTATTTTTTAGGGTCTTGGAAGACAGACTTAAGACCCCTGTCTAGAGGAGGGAGCGATAAAGGCACGACTCGTTACATCACGTACTGCCGCACACACACACCTGGCATGGGAACACCCGGTAGAGAACGGAATTCCGTATCCCGCGATGACACTGTAAATTAAGAAAGTTGGTTACAGGAAACATGTTTTTCTTCCTCAGTAAGTTCATACCAGATATTACACCATGCGTTTTGAAATAATAAATAATAACAGGTAGGGTTGCAGCGCAAGAAAGGTTTGGTCTCATAAATAATGACAGCTGTGACTTCATCCTCACTGTATCATCAAATAACCATTAGTTGAAAGTCCTCTATAAATATTTCACAGAAGGACGTCACATGAGCTACGTATCAAATAATTCCATCTGACGTCATATAGGAGGGCAAGGTGACGTCATCTCCCGTTACACCTACAAATGACATGTGAGATCTGGCGCGGTGATGCTGTCTGATGTACACAGATGTATATGACGTTATGCGCGGACTGTTGTGTTTATCAACGTGACGTCACATTCTTCGAGTGAAGTATATCTCACCGTAACGGCACTCAAGTGCGCCATTCTACTTGAGGGCCGCTCCGAAATGGCAACCTCCCTTCACCACGCCGGAAGGAAGTAATGGAGGCCAGGTAATTGGCACCGTGCCTACAAACACACTGTCGTGATCTTTGTATAGTCATAGAAAGCTCTGGAAGCAACATGTTATGGTAATATTCGCTGACGATTCTTGTGAATAGCTCCATCTGGTACATGTTTATGTCCAAATCTTGATTCCTTATGGAAACAGAACGTGAATAATGGACAAGATCGCATAGTGTCAGTGTCGCGTCCACCGCATATCATATCGCTACCTCTGAGACATTAGGAAAAGATGAGTTTGCCACAGCCTTGAACCTAGGCTTCAAAGGTGGTTGCTGAAAACATAACTTGCTCGCATTCGTGATGACATTATGCTGTGCATCGTGACCCTTGAAGATGGGAATCACACAGGCTTGCCTTATCACCGCTTGTGGCATTTAACGGTGCAGAGAGTTTGGACAGATGCCATAACACGTGTATTCCAAACAAACAAAAGGATGTTTGCTAGACAGTACTTTTATGCGATGCTGATGTTAGTTTGTTTCTGATTATTTGGATTCAATAATGGAATGTATTGTATCTCTGTCCTTGTATCCTTGTATATCTGGATACGCTTCGATACATTAATCATGGATGAATCAATGTGTTCAGATATCACGGACAATAAGGGGGGTGGGGTAGCCAGGTAGATAAAGGGTTCATTCGTCACACCGTAAGCCCGGGTTCGATCCTACATATGAGAAGCCCATTCTGGTGTCAACCGCCTTGTTATGGCTGGAATATTACTAAAACGGCGTTTAACCGTACTCTTTCACTCACGCAAAGGGTGTGTGGCGTCGCTGATATCTCCAGATACCAAGGGCAATCAGGTCGTGTTCGTGTAACGTAAATTGCTTTTTTATACACACTATGAGCGTTGGTTGTGAGAGTTTTCGTTAGATTTCCTCAGTCCCGAGTTTAATTTCCTGCAGGGTACTATATGTGCAGACAAACACATGAACTTCAAACACTGTGACGTCACCCTATTGTTCCAGCTGAACAATGGTTGTCAAGCATTCGTTTATCTTTAAACCACTTTCCACTTCATGTACACTTGAATTGGCGGAACTCTATTGTTTGACACTTAAGTGAAATATTTCAAATTTCAAATTTTATCGGAAAAAATACGAACCCTCATTGTGTAATTTGTAAACGTGCAATAGTCGATGTCGGTTATGGCTACAGAAATAGAAAACTAATATCTGAAATAATTATTTGGTAAACATTACAACAGATTTGAACGATAGCCTTCTAGCCCCAAGTAACGGATTTACAGCTAAGGTATTATCATACAGTTTGAGTAACGTTGCTGTACAGGTGACTCAATTGGAAGATAAAGTACAAATTGATATGAGTATTTTAGGCGGTGCACGAGTTATAAGATACTTTCCAATTCTGAAACCAATTATACAGGATTATTGCTATAACTATTTTTCTTAAGGCAATCGCTCACTCACAAAAAAACAGTATTCGGTTGTTGCGATCGATATGAAAAGGTTTAGGCACTGACGTCAGAATGAATAATAAAACCTACAACAAAACCTGAAAAACATAAACTTATGAAAGATGAGACAGATGAACAAGAATGATCTCATATTCGAGAATAGTTTCTCTCCAGGCAGGAAAAATATGCAGATGTAAAGAATGACAAACTATCATTTATCAGGAACGAAGCTCATATGAATCAGTGGATGAAATCAAAATGAAGAGATCTGATTGACATTTAAGAAATTATTTGGGAAATGGGAAACAGATTAATACACGAGTGTCTGTCAGATGCCAATTATCTTACAACTCGTTCTTTCAAAACGTATGTTTGATCTTCAAAGATACGCTTTGAGACAACGAGTTGTAAGATAAATGGTATCTGACAGGCACGAGTGCAGTAATCTATTTCTTACACACCCTAAAATCGTATCGTTTTAGTATTGAATCGATGCTTTTTGTCTATTCTCATGATCGCACCGGCGCACTAATACATAACACAGCGGTCATGAGTGACGTCATCCGACGTATTGCGTACTACTCATAACAAATGTGACCCAACACAAAGTAGGTTTCCGCCATATCTGTGGATAATTAAAGCGATCATGATAATGCAGACTAGATAAGATCAGAGAACATGTACCTGCTGGATGCCGAAGAGATTTCCAGAACTGTACAATAATGTTTACTTCCGTGTGACATCACTACCGGTGACCGACTTCTACAAAATGGCGTGTTCACTGACTAAAGTACGCGGGATTTTCAGAGGAGCATGTTCGTTGATTTAGCGATGATATATACATAAATGTGTCGTGTAAGCAATCAGAAACAATCTGACAATCTGCCTACTGTTTTTTGGTTTTATGTTTTTTAATGTAACCAAGAAGAATTGGTCAGAAATGCAGATAACCACCGTGGTCGTTATGCGTGACTTTGTGTCAGTCATGGCGTCAAAAAGGACGGAAACTGTTACGATTTGTGTTGAATTTACCTGAGCATTGTAAAGTATATATTTTTAATTCCACAATTCGTGCAACGGTTCTCCTGCCATGAATAGTCTCAAAGGCGGGAGCCAATGTATGCAACAATTAAATGAAATTCATGAATTAAATGCTATGCAATGTAAAATCCGAATTTTGCCTTGTTTACGTTTCAAAATGTTCAGTTTTCCGAGCACAGCGTTTGTTTCCACACTTAATTCATTTCGCTTGATTTCATCTAGATACTTTGTATTGATGGCATAGACCATTTGGCATTTGATTCTAAAATGTACGAGGAATTCAGGGCTGTATCTATCGGAGCTTTGAAACAAACGTGAGTTTGGTTTAACGTTGCTTTTAACAGTATATAAGTTATGGCCAGTACCTCAAGTCGAGACGATTACCACTTACAAATACGTCAATATTATACCAATACCCCATTCTTCAATCCCGACTGCTCAAATATCAAACACTCATACTAACACTGTGTCTGTTTTAATCTTTGAAAAATAAATGACGTACATATCCCAGACTATTTCTCTTTGTGTGTTCCATGTTAGGGACTGTCTGTCAATCAGCTGACACTCTTTTGTACAAACAAGTTGTTTACCTCTGTAACACAATGTCCATTTCACCCCTGAACTGTCTAAAATTTGGTCAAGAGAGATCGTGGTCATGTTATTGTCGAGCAGACGACACTATTGCCCTCAGGCGCCCAAACGTCCACTTCAAAGAATAGGATTTTATAGACACCTGCCTCACGAAGGCAGTTGGTAAATAAACGATTGATGAATAAATTAACACCCAGAACAACAACAAAGATGATGAAAACACCTGCAGCATACGCAATGAAACTGAGTCACGTGATCAAGCCGCCTGGTGCAATGTCTGACATTTATCGTCTGCGGGTATTCTCGATGACGTCAGACGTCAAAACATAACCTGTAAACAATGTGAGACACACGACCTCACTCTACCCTTCGTTGTAACCTCACATCACCGTGAACAATGTGACCCTTCGTCACCCCTGTTTTATCTGTCCAAACCAGGTGGTGAATATCCTCTGGTGGACAATGACCTTGGACAAGGAGGTAAGAAGTTAATCTTCAGTGTAAAGGAGTCAACTTATTTAGCCTGCTTGCAATCATACGAATTGTTTTATATTAGGCCGGGGGTGTTTTTTATTAATTTCGACATCTGTGTTAACTATGCCCTGAGGATTATTGTCTGTACAATCGTTGTCATTGACATTAAACTACTGGGCCCCAGGACAAGCCAGGAGGGCCCTCGGTGAGGAGTAACGCTCGAGAACATTGCAAGTCGTTCGATAATGTGTTTTAATGTCGCTGACATTTTTAACACGCATGTGTCAGCGCATGCAGGTGTAACTGCTGCGTTGTCGTTTTGAGATCTATGTGAATGTCAGTGCATTTCGCTGAGAATGTCAACGATGAATTCCATAAATTATCACCTTGTAGGCTTAAAGGATTCAAGTAGTGTTATGTCACGACCCAATAGATAGCAGAGAAATCTAGTCACTAATTTATTCTGAATGTAGGCCTCATCCCCATAAACAGTGGCATGCACATTTAAAACACTGTATCACAAGACAAAGTTGTTAAGTATGTAATGTTTAACACAACGGTCAAGACATAGATATTTACAATTTCTATGACAAAACATCACAAGACATAGATTTTATGTGCACTTTCTACTTCAAGACATCACGATACAGGGAGTAGGTTTTGCTTTCGACGACAATACATCACTAGACAGACATTATGTATACACTGTCTACTACAAAACATAACAAGACAGAAATAATGTATGTGCTTTAAACTGCAAAACATCACAAGAAAGTATTATTCACTTTCGACTACAAAACATCACAAGAAAGTATTATTCACTTTCTAATACAAAACATCACAAGAAAGAAATAATGTATATGCTTTCAACTACAAAAAATCACAAGACAGAAATAATGCATACGCTTTCTACTACAAAACATCACAAGACAGAAATAATGTATATACTTTCAAGTACAAAACCACACAACACAGAAATAATGTATATGCTTTCAACTACAAAACATCACACGACAGAAATAATGCATACGCTTACTACTACAAAACATCACAAGATAGAAATAATGTATATACTTTCAAGTACAAAAGATCACAAGATAGAAATAATGTATAAATATGCTTTCAAGTACAAAAGATCACAGGAAAGAAATAATGTATATGCTTTCAAGAACAAAAGATCACAAGATAGAAATAATGTATATGCTTTCAAGTACAAAAGATCACAAGACAGAAATAATGTATATGCTTTCAACTACAAAACATGACAAGACATAAGGTACGTATACGATTTCTGTTACAAAACATCACAAGACATATATTATATGCACTTTCTACTACAAAACATCACAAGACAGAGATTTGCTATACTCTTTCTACCACGAAACATCACAAGTAAATGTGTAGGTATACACTTTCTGTAACAAAAACATTACAAGACAGACATAATGTATACACTTTCAATTACAAAACATCACAAGACAGAAAGTACGTATACACTTTCAATTACAAAACAGTACGTATTCATTTCATCCAACTAGACATCACAAGACAGAGAATGCGTATATATATTCTACTCCAAAACATCACGAGGAAGAGAGTATTGTACGATTTCTACTAAAAAACACCACAAGACAAAGAGTATGTGCAGGCTTTCTACTACAAAACATCACAACACAATGGGTAGGTACAGGATTTCATTTCATCCTACAATAAAAGACAGAGGGAGCAGTGTAGTATTTCTTATAGATCTCAGAGCATATATTCAAAAAACGTTTCACCCCAATCATCTCATTCTTAGCATCAGCAGCCTATACTAAACAAGAGACTTGAGAGTTCCTTTGATAGTCGTGGGTTGCCTTGCGGATTTAGTTTGATTAAACCTTATATATGACTTTATTTCAGGGACTATATGTTAGTCTTAGGGACCAGTTATAACTCCAACATTGTTCAACTGGGATAGGAGACGTTATTGACATCCATCAAGAATACAGTAAGCATACCAATATAAACCCTTATCCAAATTGCTTTCTGACCTTGGAATTTATTAACCGCATTCTAAAGACATGCGCAATAATGTGTAAGAGGGCGTCGACATCACATCATGTGACACCAGCAACTCGAAACAGGCCACCAACCCATCACTGGAAGTGTCTACAGCTAAGGCCATCGTCTACTACGGGTTCAAGTTATGACGTTGAATCATCCGCCATCCGTTGCAATGGCTGAAGCTGCAGACGCTGACTGCACTGACGACTGTGACACACTGCTTTGGGGAAGACATGGAGTGTTTGTTGCATGTCTGCTTGTGCTCGATGGGGGCCGGGCAGTCAATTGTATCAGCCCTGTCCGAGCACAATGGTGTATTATTGCCACGTGTTACCTACTTGTTTCACTCATCTTGACGGTGACACTTTGCACGGTTTTCTTGCAAGGATACGAGACAGGAACGCCGGATTAGTGGTGCATTAGGACTTCGAACAAGTAAATAAATAGATACACGGAAGCGGACGCTGAATGCAACTGCTATTTAAAACGCCATTCGTTCTGAACAAATAAAACCATTGCAATTCTTTTTACCGCATAATTGATATCGTTATCGATGCAATAATCCTAATTGTCCATTGTACGATTCCAACCATACCACGAGCGTGTGTCTATGAATCACCATCAAAGAGTGATGATACCAGTGTCAGCGAAAATGTGAGCGTATCCTACCCCGCCGGTGGCACCAATTACAAACACATGCACGGGCAAGTCAATAATTGTTCACCTAAAACAAGAAGTGACTACTCCGATGGAGTTCATAATCTAATGTGTGTGTATATATATATATATATATATATATATATATATATATATATATATATATATATATATATATGTGTGTGTGTATGTGTGTGTGTGTATGTGTGTGTGTGTCTGACTGCCTCTGTCTCTGTGTGTGCGTGTGCGTGAAAAACATGTGACACTAGATACAAAATTGGGATGTTCACACTATCATTGCATTCTGAAGTTACTTGTGTAATTAAACCATTACATATTAATCGTCGTAAATATCATATATTGATAAACAAAGACGCATTAAGCTTGCCAAAGGCAACAGTACAATGTTAATACATGACATATATGTTTTATATATTGTTTATCACCGAGTGAACATCGACATTCAACGATGTCAGGGCAGTTTCTCAAAAATGAAGTGTGTGTGTGTGTGTGGGGGGGGGGGGGGGGGGGGGGGGGGGGGGGGGGGGTGTTAGGTTATTTAGATAAAAAGCAGGCATCCACATGGGCACCAATTGTGCTCCCCTTCTTACTGATATGTTTCTTTATGCTTATGAATCGGAATTTCTTCTCGGATTAGAACAATCAAAACAAGGTGATTTGGCCAAGAAGTTTAACTTAAGCTTTATGTGTATCGATTATATGACATCTTTCAATAACCATCAAATAGCCAATTCCCTTCCCCTGATCAACCCACCTAAACTGGAAATAAAGGCGACCAATGGTATAGCCGCTTCTGTTTCATCATAAGATCTATGCATAAAGATTCAGAGTGACAAAGACCTCTCCACAAGACTGTGTGACAAGAGGGTTGACTTCAACTTTCAAATAACCAACTTTCCCTTCATGTCGAGCAATATTCCAGTAACACCAGCCTTTGGTGTTTACATTTCACAACCTTTCAGATATAATCGAGTACGCTCTTTCCACCAAGATTTCAAAGAGCATCATACAACTCTTGCTCAGAAGTTGTTTGATGAATGTTATAACATATAAAGACTCAGTATTGCTTTCAAAACGTTTATTGGCAGACATTTGGAGGACGTTTCCAAATTGGACGCATCAGTGACTATTTTGACTTGAACCATATGGTCCCATATTTTGTCAATCGAACAATTGACTTGCCTTTGTATGTGTTTGTGACGGGCGCCATCAGTGAGGCAGGATAAGTTTTTCTTTTCGCGAACACCTGGTATCATCACTATTTGATAGTGTTTCATACACAGATGCTCATGATAGAGTCGGGTTCGTACAAAGGACACGTTTGGCAGATATTTCTTATGAATATGGAAAGTGTTGTGTCGCTTTTATTTACATTGATTATTTGACTACTTTCATACACAGGTTTGACTCAAACAAATGCACTGTCTATAAACGTCACTATCGTTATGCACAGAAAATCAAACTACGACTAGCGACAACTTCGAGTTTATAACGAAACCAACTGCACTTTGACCAAGCACGTCTTAAAGAATATGTCAACGTTTAAGTTAATTTGAGTCCGCTTCCTGACTCCTTCAGCTATTTCGGTCACGACAACTCCCTGTTTACGTCAAGATTGGTAAAAACAAGGCATAACACGCAGCACGAGGATTGCTGTGTGAATTTCAGCTTCGTTAAGCCCCGGCGATGTCACGAGAAGCCACAACAAGGTGGCAGGTGATGTGGTAAACTTAGATCGCGAATATAACGATGAGTTTATTAATGCAAACTGAATTTATATGTCCTTTAAGGTGAGCATTAGGGACAATGGAAGTTAGAAACAGATATCTGAATGAGTCAGTAAGTCTGGGGGCGTATACATTTTGAGTAGAATTTTGGGCATGTGAAATATGTATATTTGTTTCGAGGCTATAAATAAAGGTGATGGGCGTTTAGTTCAAGAAATAAAGTTATCTTATTAAAAACATTTATACGTACAAAAAGGTATGAAAAGGTCAGAGCTGAGGCAAGCTTGACTTGCCAAATCGTTATAAACTTCAGTTGGACTTTTTAAAATTCATTCTCCAAGGTCTGGGAGACAGACTAGTGAGGGGCGAGTTTAACGTAATCTAACTGATTTCATCTGAAAAAATATTATTGTTTTAAGAAAGGGTCTGACAACTTTGATTTTAAACATTGCTTTTAATATTTAGTGGGCGGTGAAGTAGCATGTTTTAGTCCGTCCCACCATGATAAAATTAAACGTAATGTATTAGGGGTTAGCGATGCTGAGAAAAGCGGCAGGTACTTAATCCATTGATTTGAATGGGTTGTCGATTTCAGTGAGTGAGTATGGTTTTACGCCGCTTTTGTTTTATCACGGCGGGGGACACCAGAAATAGGCTTCACACATTATATCCAAGTGGGGAATCGAGCCCGGGTCTTCGGCGTGACGAACGAACGCCTTGCATTGACCATAGGCTACACCGTCTCATGTCGATTTCAACGCAGGAAACATCGATAATAGCCTTTAAACAAATACTGACGATGTATGTTCTTGTACATTATTGTTTTACAACAATATGTTTTACTTAAGAATTAAAACACTACAAAGTGAATAAACCTTGAGGGGCGATGCAGGGAGCAGGCAGAATAAACCAGGAGGGGCGCAGCTGCAAGTGGTTTATTCTCCCTGCAGTGTTTTATTGTACAATAAACAACGACCACGAGTCGTTTATTTCTGATGTATGATATCAACATTATGTACAGCCTCTTGAAGGATGATAATAAAATGTACAAAGCTTAAAAATAATTACCCGTATTTTAATAATGATAACTCCCTCAATAGAATTCGACCTCTGCAATGTCGGACAAGTCCATTTTATGCACAGGTGGATATTTCCTGCATATTCTTACAATCCACACTTCGCTTACCTGAACCTTTCACCCAACATTGTCATTTCTCTTCCTCTTTTAGATACGATCGTTCGGCCATCGTGTTTGTGTGCGTTGTCCAGTTCATTTATGGGGTACAACTTACGAGACACGCTCCTCTGATATATAACGTCGTCCAATATACGACGTCATCAAGTTGCCAGCGCATGTTCGAATCTCCAGATATGACATTATGATAGAACAATGTTTATGGTGAAATAAACCACTCTTCGTTCTATATTGTTTTTACATTCATTTCATTATCTTATATTCGCATGTATGGTGGGCATGGTACACACATGGCAGGTGTGTGAGTCAGCTACTTTGTAAGCCAGCATGAGTGAGTGAGTATGGTTTTACGCCGCTTTGAGCACACCAGAAATGGGCTTCACACATTGTACCCTAAGCCAGCATGATGTAGACACAACAAAGAAGAGTAAGTAAGACTGCAAGGTTTAGTTCAACTTAGCACGTAAGTATTATGACGTCAAACCGCCCATTGTGACGCAGCAGTGCCAAATTTCAACCTTTTGTCACCAAAACTTGAAATACACTCTCACGTTGGATTTCTATCATGTTTTCTGCACAAAATATACTGCCATAGACACTTTGACTATATTGTAGTTAAAGCAAATACGTATGTTATAACCTATGAGTGAACATAGAAGTGAAATTTTTTTTGTGGCAAATAGAGGTTTCGAACGTATATTCGATACCTGTATATGTCATCTAAAACCGAACGCGATAGTCTCTGAATGTTTTGTTCTAAAGTACCACTGTTAGGTCGTCATGAAGTTCTACGGATCGGAAGTGGACATGACGTCACAGTAGATTGGCGCCAAAAGTCAAACCCTGTTGATGGTACTGTATTTGACAATACATTCTCTAAGATTATGTTCGTCATGTTTTCCGCCTGAAATATAATGCCACGGTAGCTGTAATTATAACGTTGGAACCGCAACAAGCGGTAATATCACTATTTGAAATTGCAAAACGGCTAGGGCCCCGTTCCACATAGCCATCTTAGCGCTTAGGTGATGGTAGCTCCCATACTTTAAAACTGGCTTACGATAGTCGTAGCGCTAAGATCGCTTTGTGGAACGGCGCCCAGGTTTGCGAAAGAAGAGCTGCTAAATAAATATTTTACTTCGCGGTAATGATGTCATCAGGACTGGTCTGAAGTAGATCAATTTCTATGGCCAATGCAGGATTTTAAAACGTTTTGGTAGAATCGAGGAAGAGCTACGATTGTCGTCTATGCGCTGAGTACACTTTGTGAGCACACCAAGGGCGCACATCTATTCCTAGTCTGACCAACTAAACCAATTTAAGTGGCATCTGTCCATAAATATTAGGATACAGGGAGCCTATATTCTTGGCGGAATAACGACAGGGGCAAACCAATACCCTTGAACGAGCTATACCTGTTTGATGTCCTCTCGTCAGGGTTCAATGTAGCCCGCGGTTGTTGCATCTTTGTAGGAAGGTTTAAGACTCTAAGACTCCACTTGGAACATCTGCACTTGAGACCGTGCTCCGTCATTAGGCTTGGGTTGGTATTTGACGCCTGCAGTCAATGTAAGCGCTGAAGGAGATCAGCGTCGCCCCAGGCTGTTGGGGTTTATATGGAGACCACTATGTAGTGGATAGCATCTCCCTGTAGCCGACTGCAGTATGCATGTAACTAGCGTGTAACTAGCTATCAGGTGAGGTGAAACGCGTTCAAGATTAATGCATTTATATAACGAATATATTGCACCTTATGTATGTGTGTGTATGTGTTAAGGGCGGGGGGGGGCACTCAGACACGTTATGCTGGCTCCGAGCTGACCAGTACTTGTTTTAGTCCCACCATCCCGAACCCACGACGTTCCTCTCTCCGGGCAGACGCTCTGTCACTGGACCACAGAGGTGGTAAATGTAACTAGTGGTAATACGAGTAGTCTGAAGTAACAGTTGTAATCGTGGTAGTAGTAGCAGTAGCAGTAGAAGTGGTAGCAGTAGTAGCAGTAGTAGTAGTAATAGTAACAGTACTAGCAGCACACAGGCGCACCGATACTCTACATCTTCATCACCCTGGAGCCGAGAGGTACAGCCGCCTAGTGTAAGGATTGCAAGGGTGCTTCATCCAACTCTTGCTCCACTGCGTTGGTTGGTTTTACGCCGCACTCAGCACTATTCAAGCTATATGACCAGACAATCAAGTGATTGACATCATGGACATCGATCCAACCAATTGGGATCGATGACATACATAAACGAGCCTGACCACCCGATCCCGTTACTCGCCTTTTACGACAAGCACAGTCGCCTTTTACGGTGCCCCATGTGAATCATGTATTGATTTGTATGAACCAAGTCAGATCTCAGGTTATCCTATGACAAAATGTTAATGTTTAAATAAATGAATAACTGATTGGTTTCTTTAAAACTCAGCATATATTTACATATAAACAAAATACATTGTGTTTTAAAATGCATTCTTACATATAATACTACAATAAAATATAATTCTAATAATATTCTATTCTATGATATTGTGTAAATATTTCATGACATCATGCAAGGTGTTCCCCAGGTGAAAAAAACGACCAGAAAAGGTTGGGCACATACGCAAAACGAACGGTTGTGACAAGTATGTTTTTCAGGCTCGTTAAATCTAAAAATAGAATCTTACACAGACCAACGAAATCCGGAAACACGTTGCCGCGCTGTTGTCAAAAATGCTAAACAGCTTGGCTAATATTCTGAGGGTATTGGTACATCTATCGACTAGCATAGCGGTATTAATTGGAGTCTATAGACGAAGTAGAACGTATAGATTGTGTACTGCGATGAGCGGACATGTGATATGGAAGTAGGGCTTCTGCTTGGGGAAACCCCGGATCAGATTTAACCAAACGCGTTGATTGGCTAAGAGGTTTGATTGACACGTACAGAGCTCCGCCCAATGACGTAAACCTTTCTGATTCAACGCGCTCGGCCCGTGTGTGACGTTGGCTGTTAAACCACTGTTCATTGGCTGATGAAAGGCTAGGCTATATAAGCAGACGAACTGTTTGTGTTTGACAGACTTGAGTCATTCGCTACAAGATACACTTGCTTGACAATACACAGTCAAAGCTCAGTTACAGCCAACTAGTTCGATGGTTTTAAATCACATCAAACAGACAGTCATGGAAGCTGAAACAGTTACAGGCATGAAGAAGTCGAGAAGGAACGGAATGGCGAACATATTTGATGGTGTCGATCCAGAAATCCTCGAGCGGCTCGGATGGACTGATGAAGCTATTGAGAAAGTCGAGAAAAGTTTCGGCAGGCAGATATCGAACATGTCAACATCATCAACCGAGAGCGAGTTGTCTGAAAGTGCGAGCGAGTCTTGCAGTGAATCCGACGAGGACACGCAACTGGACATGGTGGACAATTTCCAAGAATTACTCCTCAACGATTCATCTTTACGCATGAAGGAGAAGACCTGCTCACTGTCCTGCACTACCAATGGGGAAGTGACCAACTGCTTAGCAAACAGGAGACGGAGAAATGGCCTTGCTGATCTTTTCGAAGCCCTCTCCGTGCACCAGAAGCAGATTTTCGTGAAGCTGATCCAGACGTCGCCACCTACCCGATCTGTTACCAGGGTGGCGAGGTGCCTTTACAACTGAAATGTAGGACTGCGGTCACACCTATGGTGACATGTGCAATCTTTGTGCGTTTACGCAAAATCCTGGAACTGTGAAAAACGGACTCTGAGGTGTGAGGTGTGCTGGAACCAGTCCTGCTCCCAGGGCGCACCTTTCAGGTGGGCCGTGACGTCACGAGAGGCAATCCTGAAATCAACACGTTTTCGCTGAAAGCGACGCTCTTCAAATGACAGTCCCGGGTAGATTTACAACGAGTGCAAACACGACTATATTGAACTTTGACCTTAGCAAAGTTGAGGGAAACAGAAGAAATTTTCAACAATGAACAGTTTGGATTTCAAGCGGTACGAACCTAATGGAATCGTTTCCATACAAGCAATTAACATTTGTTCAAGAAGCTAGATTGCTTGTGAGAGTAGTCGCGTGTGACGCATTGCCCGTGTGCCTAGAAGAAATCCAGTGACATTTAATTGCTCAATTGATAACGTGAGTAGATTATGAGGACAGTATTACTCTTCCAAGCAGAGACCAAGCTTGTTTTATTGGGTAATTGGTTGCTTGTGTGTCACTTGGCATGACATTTGACACGTCGTAACATAACTTATTCTGAGATTTATTTTTTGTTATTTTTACTACCATGTAATATATTACTATTTATTGTATTTTGAAATACACAGAATAAATATTTGATATATATTTGTATCTCTATGTTTTTGTATCACATTACTAATTGATCGTGTATGAATTAATACACACGTCTATGAACTTGCAGCAAGATTCCTTTTTTATTGTTTTACTTCTTTTGGGGGGATTTTGGGTAAATTTTAAATCTAACATTTTTTATAATGATAAATGTTAGCCGAATCTTGCTGACATATATGTGTGTATAAATAGTCTACACTCAAAAGATTGGGCCCTTGGCGGCACCTTGGAGCTGTATGTAAAGCCAGAGGATACATTGACATTTCTCTAGTCTTCGTCTTGGAGGCAATATAAGGGTCAGTTGCCACAAGAAATGACAGACTTCTGAAATAGAACCATTAATTGTATAATTAGACCAAGGATAAGTGGCACATATTTTAAATATGGGTTATGTCGTTAAATGTATGAAAAGTGGTACTTTGACATGCTTCCACACTTAGTTGACAGTATTTCAGTATTAGCTATTCGTACATGTAGTATACGCCACATTTCGGATAACAGATGTGGAACTTTACTTTTGAAAAAACAGCATAATAGATGATGATTTGGTTCACCTGGAATTTTTCGCAGACTTCAATATCGGCAAATTTGCTGAACTATAAACCGAATGGAATGGTGACTCTTTTAAAGAGTAAGTGCTTGAGTGGTTTTACACCGCTTTTAGCAACATTCCAGCAATATCACGGCGGGGGACACAGGAAATGTGCTTCACACATATGGGACTCGAACCCGGGCATTCGGCATGACGAGCGAACGTTTAGCCCGTTCCTATTTTCATAAGTGCACATACGAATTCTTAATACGGTTATTTCTAACCCTGTTGGAAATAAACAGTAATGTGCAATAGTGGCGGTATTACGAGCAGTAGTTGTTGTGGTTGGGAAAACAGTATAATAAATGTAGTAATAACAAAATAAAATTCAAGAAAAAACTGAAGTAGTAGTAGTAGTAGACTTGGTAGTAATATTAGTATCTCGAATAACCACCAACAGTAGGAGTAGCAGTAGCAGCTGTGGTAGTAGCGGCAGCAGCAGAAGTAGTAGTAGCAGTAGTAGTAGTATCAGCAGCAAAAGTAGCAGTAGGCGTAGTAGTAGTAGCAACAGTAGCAGGGGTAGTATCAGCAGTTGAAGTAGAAGTATCAGCAGCAGAAGTTGTAGTGGTATCAGCAGCAGAATAACTAGCACCAGTAGTAGTAGCAGCAGTAGTAGTAGTAGAAGTAGCAGAAGACGCAGCAGTAGTAGCAGCAGCAACATTAGTAGTAGAAGTAGTAGTAGTAGTAGTAGTAGCAGTAGTAGTAATAGTAGTAGAAGCAGTAGTAGCAACAGCATTAGTAGTAGTAGTGGTACTAGTAGCAGTAGTACAAGCAGTAGTAGTAGTAGTAGTAGTGGGAGTAGAAGAAGGGGGCAGTAGTAGTATTTGTAGAAGTAGTAGCAGCAGCAGTAGAAGTAACAATAGTAGTAATAGTAGCAGTAGAATCAGCAGTAGTAGTCGCGGTAGTAGTTGTAGTAGTAGTGGTGGTGGTGGATGAAGTAGAAACAGTAGTAGTAGTAGTAGTAGTAGTAGAAGCAGTAGAAATTGTAGCAGTAGCAGTAATAGTTGCAGCAGTAGTAGTCGTAGCAGAAGTAGTAATTGTAGTAGTAATTGTAGTAGTAGCAGTAGTAGTAATTGTAGTTGTAGTAGTAGCAGTAGTATTGGCAATAGTAGTAGTAATAGCAGCAGTAGTAGTAGCAGTGGCAGCAGTAGTAGTAGTAGTAGTAGTAGTAGTAGCAGTACTAATAGTAGTAGTAGCAGTAGTAGTAGTAGTAATAGTAATAGCAGCAGTAGTAGTAGTAATAGTAGCAGTAGCAGTAGTAGTAGTAATAGTGATAGCAGCAGTAGTAGTAGTAATAGTAGCAGTAGTAGTAGTAGTAATAGTGATAGCAGCAGTAGTAGTAGTAGTAGTCGAAGCAGTAGAAAGTGCAGTAGTAGCAGTAATAGTTGCAGCAGTAGTAGTCGTAGCAGTAGTAGTAATTGTAGTAGTAGTAGTAGCAGTAGCAGTAGTAGTAATTGTAGTACCAGTAGCAGAAGTAGTAGTAGTAATAGTGATAGCAGCAGCAGTAGTAGTAGTAGTAGTAGTAGTAGTAGTAGTAGTAGTAGAAGTAGTAGTAGTTGTAGTAGTAGTGGTAGTGGTGGATGTAGTAGTAACAGTAGTAGTAGTAGTAGTAGCAGTAGCAGTAGTAGTAATTGTAGTTGTAGTAGTAGCAGTAGTAGTGGCAATAGTAGTAGTAATAGTAGCAGTAGTAGTAGCAGTGGCAGTAGTAGTAGTAGTAGTAGTAGTAGTAGCAGTACTAATAGTAGTAGTAGCAGTAGTAGTAGTAGTAATAGTAATAGCAGCAGTAGTAGTAGTAATAGTAGCAGTAGCAGTAGTAGTAGTAGTAATAGTGATAGCAGCAGTAGTAGTAGTAGTAGTAGTCGAAGCAGTAGAAAGTGCAGTAGTAGCAGTAATAGTTGCAGCAGTAGTAGTCGTAGCAGTAGTAGTAATTGTAGTAGTAGTAGTAGCAGTAGCAGTAGTAGTAATTGTAGAAGCAGTAGCAGTAGTAGTAGTAGTAATAGTGATAGCAGCAGTAGTAGTAGTAGTAGTAGTAGAAGTAGTAGTAGTAGTAGTAGTAGTAGTAGTGGTAGAAGTAGTAGTAGTAGTAGTAGTGGTAGTGGTGGATGTAGTAGTAACAGTAGTAGTAGTAGTAGCAGTAGCAGTAGTAGTAATTGTAGTAGTAGTAGTAGTAGTAGTAGTAGTAGTAATAGTCATAGTAATAGTAGTAGTAGTAGCAGTAGCAGTAGCAGAAGCAGTAGTAATAATAGTGATAGCAGAAGTAGTAGTAGTAGAAGTAGTAGTAGTAGTAGTGGTAGTGGTGGATGTAGTAGTAACAGTAATAGTAGCAGTAGTAGTAGTCGTAGCAGTAGTAGAAGCAGTAGTATTAGTGGTAGCAGTAGTAGTAATTGTAGTAGTAGCAGGTGTTATTGTAGTAGTAGTAGTAGTAGCAGTAGCAGTGGCAGTAGTAATAGTAGTAGCAGTAATAATAGTAGTAGTAGCAGTAGTAGTAGTAGTAGTAATAGCAGCAGTAGTAGTAGCAGTAGCAGTACTACTAGTAGTAATAGTAGCAGTAGTAGTAGCAGTGGCAGTAGTAATATTAGTAGCAGTACTAATAGTAGTAGTAGCAGTAGTAGTAGTAGTAGTGGTAGTAGTAGTAGTAGTAGTAGTAGTAGTAGCAGTAGTAGTAATAATAATAGTTATAGCAGCAGTAGTAGTAGCAGTAGCAGTAGTAGTAATAGTAGCAGCAGCAGTAGTAGTAGTAGTAGTAGTAGTAATAGAGATAGCAGCAGTAGTAGCAGTAGTAGTAGTGGTAGTGGTGGTGGCGGTGGTCGTAATAGTAGTAGTAGCAGTAGTAGCAGTAGTTAAAGCAGCTGTATACACAGCAGTAGCTATAGTAATATCAACATCAGCAGCAGTAGCAATAGTAATATCAACATCAGCAGCAGTAGCAATAGTAGTATTGACAGCAGCAGCAGCATTTGTAGAAATAGCAGTAGCATCACAAGTTGCAACCTGTCATGTAATCATTGTAATGGACCTAAATGTGTGCCATTAAAACATTTTTTTGCTGATTGTCAATTTGGATTGGGAAATATTTCATTGGAATGAAACAAGACATACGCAGTATCTTCACCAACCGCCGCGTGTAAGGATTGCAAGGGTGCTTCACCCAACTCTTGTATCATTGTGAATCATGTATTGATTTGTATGAGCTGATCCTATGAAAAACAATTATATGTATTTAAGAAATAAATGACGAGAGGGAGTTATATATCGTACAATAAAACACTGCGGGGAGAATAAAACATGTTTTCTTGTACGATAAACAACGGCCCCGAGTCGTATATTTCTTATATTAGATATCAACATGATGTACAGCCCCTTTAAGGATGTTGATAAAATGTACAAGCTTTAAACGTATTTTCCCAAATTTTTAAAATGATGACTCCCTGAACAGAATCCGACCTTACGAACAGGTGGTTTAAGTTTGGTATTTCCCCCATGTTCTCACAATCCTCACGCCGATTATCTGTACCCTTTATCCTCATACCGAGTTGTCATATCTCTCCCACTTTTGGATGCGATCGTCCGGCCACTGTTGTTATCTGTATAGCCCAGCAACATCTATGTGGCATAACTTACTACACACTTCCCTCTCAAAAACAACGTCGTCCAATACATGATCCGTGGTCTTGTGGTAGAGCGTCCGCCCGGAGAGCGGAAGGTCCAGGGTTCGATCCCGGGCCGCGTCATACAAAAAGACGTTAAAAGATTGTACTTGTTGTTACCCTGTCTTGCGCTCGGCATTAAGGGGCTAAAACAAGGACTGGTCGGCTCGGAGTCAGTATACTGTGTCTGAGTGGGGTATTCATGTTAAACTGCGGCATGGTATCTCAGTGAGCTAGCACTATAAATCGGCATCAGTCCGGACTAGTACAAGCAGCCACACACACACATACACGTGCATGCACGTCGCTATATAAGTGCAATAATCTTGGACGCGACGTTAAACCCAATTTCACCTCACCTCACCTCCAATACATGACGTCATCAAGTTGCGAGAGCACTTTCGAATCACCAGAAATGGCGTCATAATAGAACAATGTTTTGTCGTGAAATAAACCAGGCTTCGTTCTTTATAGTTCTTTGCGATCTACCGCGTAGTTATGTTTTATATAATTAAATAGGAACCTGAAGTGGTTTCTTTAAGAAAAAGGACCTCGTATTTTAAATTGGTTTGTTGTTTAACGCCGCACTCAGCAATATTCCAGCTATATGATGGCGGTCTGTAAATAATCGAGTTTGGACCAGACAATACAGTGATTGATATGATCGGCATCGATCCACACAACTGGGATCGATGACAACATGCATCAACCAAGTCAGCGAGCCTGACCATCCGATTCCGTTAGTCGCTCGTATTTTAAAATGCATTACATGTATACTACTATGCTACTTTTAAATATTATTCTAATAATATTCTATCCTATTATATTGTTTGACTGTTTAATTGCATCATGCAAGGTGTTTCCCAGGTGAGAAACCGATCAGAAAAAGGTTCGGCACATACGCAAAACAACGGTAGGTGACGCATGTGTTTCATGCGCAAAATCTAAAAATAGAATCTTACACAGTCCAGCGCGATCCGGAAACAACTTGCTGCGATGTTTTCAACAAATGCTAAACAGTTTGGTAAATATTCTGACGGCATGGTACATCTATTCGCTAGCATGTTTTCACCAAAGGCAGTATTGTTTGGATACAATAGCAGAAATCAAAGTTCGGTTTCATTTGGATTGTGAGCTGCGGGCAGCGACTATGGGATATCCACGTGGTCTTCTGCTTTGGGGAAACCCCGGATCAGATTTAACCAAACGCGTTGATTGGCTAAGAGGTTTGATTGACACGTACAGAGCTCCGCCCAATGACGTAAACCTTTCTGATTCAACGCGCTCGGCCCGTGTGTGACGTTGGCTGTTAAACCACTGTTCATTGGCTGATGAAAGGCTAGGCTATATAAGCAGACGAACTGTGTGAGATTGACAGACTTGAGTCATTCGCTACGAGATATACTTGCTTGACAATACACAGTCAAAGCTCAGTTACAGCCAACTAGTTCGATGGTTTTAAATCACATCAAACAAACAGTCATGGACGCTGAAACAGTTTCAGACATGAAGAAGTCGAGAAGGAACGGAATGGCGAACATATTTGATGGCGTCGATCCAGAAATCCTCGAGCGGCTCGGATGGACTAATGAAGCTATTGAGAAAGTCGAGAAAAGTTTCGGCAGGCAGTTATCAAACATGTCAACATCATCAACCGAGAGCGAGTTGTGTGAAAGTTCGAGCGAGTCTTGCAGTGATTCGGACGAGGACACGCAACTGGACATGGTGGACAATTTCCAAGAATTACTCCTAAACGATTCATCTTTACGCACGAAGGAGAAGACCTGCTCACTGTCCTGCACTACCAATGGGGAAGTGGCCAACTGCTTAGCAAACAGGAGACGGAGAAATGGCCTTGCTGATCTTTTCGAAGCCCTCTCCGTGCACCAGAAGCAGATTTTCGTGAAGCTGATCCAGACGTCGCCACCTACCCGATCTGTTACCAGGGTGACGGGATGTTTTTATAATTGAAATGTAAGACTGTCAATCACACGGATGATGAGATGTGCAATCTTTGTGAGCTTACACAAAATCCTGGAACTGTGAAAAACGGACTCTGAGGTGTGAGGTGTGCTGAGCCTTGAAACAGAGAACCAATCCAGCTCACAGGACGCTTCTGCCATGACGTCAAGAAAGGCTATCCTGAAATCCACACGTTTCGCTTAAATCGACGCCCTTTAAATGACAGTCCCGGGTAGATTTACAACGTGTATCCCAACAACGACTCCAAGTCAATTACCAGTGCAAACATGACTGTATTGAACTGTGACCTTAGCGCAGCTGAGGGAAACATCGCCCTGAGATGAGACTAACCATCCAGAATGTTCAAGCGTTACGAACGCAGTGGAATCTTTTCCTTATAAACAATGAACATTTGTTCAAGAAGCTAGATTGCTTGTGAGAGTAGGCGCGTGTGACGCATTGCCCGTGTGCCTAGAAGAAATCCAGTGACATTTAATTGCTCAATTGATAACGTGAGTAAATTATGAGGACAGTATTACTCTTCCAAGCAGAGACCAAGCTTGTTTTATTGAGTAATTGGTTGCTTGTGTGTCACTTGACATGACATTTGACACGTCGTAACATAACTTATTCTGAGATTTATTTTTTGTTATTTTTACTACCATGTAATATATTACTATTTATTGTATTTTGAAATACACAGAAATAAATATTTGATATATATTTGTATCTCTATGTTTTTGTATCACATTACTAATTGGTCGTGTATGAATTTATACACACGTCTATGTACTTGCAGCAAGATTCCTTTTTTATTGTTTTACTTCCTTAGTAGAACATCGGGTAAATTTTAAATCTAACATTTTGTATGATGATAAATGTTAGCCGAATCTTGCTGACATACATGTGTGTGTATAAATAGTCTACACTCAAAGGTTTGGGCCCTTGGCGGCACCCTGGAGCTGTATGTAAAGCCAGAGGATACATTGACATTTCTCTAGTCTTCGTCTTGGAGGCAATATAAGGGTCAGTTGCCACAAGAAATGACAGACTTCTGAAATAGAACCATTAATTGTATAATTAGACCAAGGATAAGTGGCACATATTTTAAATATGGGTTATGTCGTTAAATGTATGAAAAGTGGTACTTTGACAATGCTTCCACACATAGTTGACAGTATAAGCAAATCGTATTGTATGTGGATGCATTATGTAACAGATGTGGAATTTTGGAAAACCATCAAAATGGATGATCAGGCCTGTATGTTGTTGTAGACTTCAATATCGACAATTTGGACTCGTTTAATGAGATAATGAGGGACATTCAGCCCACGTTACCCCACCCCTCTCTCTTTCCCTCTCTCTCCCCACACACTCTCTCCCTCCCTCGACCGCCTCCGTGGTCTTGTGGTAGAGCGTCCGCCCGGAGAGCGGAAGGTCCGGGGTTCGATCCCCGGCCGCGTCATACCAAAAGACGTTAAAAGATGGTACTTGTTGTTACCCTGTCTGGCGCTCGGCATTAAGGGGCTAAAACAAGGACTGGTCGGCTCGGAGTCAGTATACTGTGTCTGAGTGGGGTATTCATGTTAAACTGCGGCATGGTATCTCAGTGAGCTAGCACTATAAATCGGCATCAGTCCAGACTAGTACAAGCAGCCACACAAACACACACACGTACATGCACGTCGCTATATAAGTGCAATAATCTTGGACGCGACGTTAAACCCCATTTCACCTCACCTCTCCCTCCCTCCCTCCCTCCCTCCCCCTCTCTCTCTCTCCACCGAGATAGTTATATCCAACTGACACTCTACCACTGAAATCAATAATTACAAACACCAGTCTGCCTCAAGACAATTAACCTCACACAAGCCGCGACTCGCCTAATTAACCCCGACTGGAGTGTAGAGCTCTCTACCCATTGAACTAAATACCGGCCTAATCTTAAGTGCAGTCGTCCAACAGAGTGACTTGTAAATGCTTGGTTACCATGGAGCAAACCGTGATGATTACAAAACACTATTGTTGTTGCTGTTGATCCTGAGCCCGGAATACGCTGGCGACGCTGAACGTGCATTTTAAACAACTACGAGTGACGCAACTATTGGTCTTTAAGCAAACTTATAGAGAAATCATATATCATGCAGAACATGCTTTAAATCTGGGCTTGTTGATTCTACTTCTAAAATCAACAAATTCGAGTGATCTCTCCATTGTTAAAAATTATATATCACTCAAAAGTTGTTGTTTTGCAAGGCGATATGATCATGAAGAATAAATTATTAACACTCTAGAATTCACCATATACATTCAATCGATACATGTTTGCAATGAATACCCTCTGCATCTTTGTTATCGTGACTATTCTGTGTACATATTTGAAGATATAGTTATTTCAAACAATAATCCTATGAAATCTGGTTACCTTGGCGACCAATATTTTAAACTGGCTGTATCTGGGCATTGATACATTTATGACAGACAGATTATCTCTAGAATTATAACCAGAAAAAACGACTAATCTGGTCCTGTTAATGATATTAATACACATGTTCACCGCTCTTTGAAACACCGCCGCGAACCCACCGCTCTTTGTATGCACGCCCGCACGCCCGCACGCCCGCACGCACACACGCACACACAGACACCGCCGCTCTTTGTAGGTATATACATATAGACACACACACAATCACGCACGCAAGCACGTACACACACACACACACACACACACACACACACACACACACACACACACACACACACACACACACACACGTCAAGTATAGCGGATTACCAATGGCTGTATCCGCCAAAAAGCCGATGATAGTTATTTGACAACGACAAGCGAAGTACTTTCTATTGGTTAGTTATCTAAAATGGGAGACATGTTTTTAAGTATCAGTAATCGCAAATCAATCTGACACTGTCTGACATCCCGCCTTATCCCAGATCCCAGCAATCTTGGCAACTGTGGCTACCCGCCAAAACACACACATCGAGATCTGGTAATGGTATATGTTAAAAAATACATATAACAAAAACAAATGTTATGTTTGGGATAACACGTTCTTGGTAAAGTAAAAACTGGTACCTAATCGCCAGCACACAAAGTCAGCGAAATACCCACTCAGCCACCGAGGCTCTACAAAGAAATTGTTTGACCAAAAATAACATTTGTTACATTTGACCACTTCTAAATGGCATTGTGTAGTCATAAAATACATTGCCTACTGTTGACATTGACTGACAGAATATTTGTATTAGCCTTGTTTATATCAACAGTTATTGGGAAAATACTATCTCTAGCCCTAATGCGTGGAAAGTGAATGGAATTATGGCTGATGTATTTATCTAGGTCTGTGACTGATAAGCTTTCCATTGAAAATGAATACTTTGTATCAAACGGGAATTACTATTTACGTTAACTCACGGACCTATATACAAGTCCGTGGTTAATGCGCATTAACTTCTTAAATAGAATTACATTCTCCAGGAACAAGCGTTGATTAAACCACTTCCCTCTTTCTCTTCTTCACGACTGTCAGCCATGATTCGCACGCTGTGACGACAGTAAGCATTGTTGTTGTTCGGCGAAATGCGGAATTTAACGGATATGACCGAACGTGTTCGGTTTCAATAGCGCTGTATGGTGATTCCAATGCGAACCGCTGTTCCGACGATAGTTATTGCATTTGTATCGCATTGGAAACTATTCCTTCAGACTTGGTAGCTCCACACACCATATTGTTTACACTAATTCCGATGCTTATTTTTCATCAAATAGATAGGAAGTGTGTCTGTGTTTAACGCCGCACTCAGCAATATTCCAGCGGTGTGATGTGACAGCGGTCTGTAAATAATCTAGTCTGGACCAGACAGTCCACTGATTGACATCATGAGCATCGATCTACGCAATTGGGTTACGATGCCATGCATCAACCAAGTCAGCGAGCCTGACCATTCGATCCCGTTAATCGTCCTGTAATATACTCGAGTGCAGCGTTAAGCAACAAACAAACTCAAATACCCCTTATTATTTATATGCTTTATATATACCTGGTATGACCAAAGAGAGTTTAAAAAACAAAGAAATGAGGCCTTTTACCTCATACCATTCCCCACCCCACCCCACATCCAAACTTATTGAATTAAAATTTTCATCCGACATCGACTTTTCGAAGTGCCCCGTTACAATGGCTGAAAGGCAAAGCCAGCTATTCAGGGTTGTGTGATCTGCAAACACTGGGGATTACTATATGTATGGCGTGCCCATGAACCGCCTGTGTAGGTACATACACGGTCTACTAGATGGGAAAATATACGCAGTCTACTAGATCAGAATTTGCGTCGTGGAGCGTGGGAGATCAGGGGCGGCTTGTTGGGTTGAGGTTGTAATGCGTGTCACGAAGGCGACAGAGATCAAGGGTGGGTCGGGTGGGTGTTGCTGGAGCAAATAAAATGTCAGGAGAGATAACATAGGAGGTAGAGGGTGGCGTGGTAGGGGTAGGTAGTAGCTGGTAAAGCTTAGGAGTGATGTGCTTGAAAGCGGTGACGAATAGTAGGGAACAGTAAGCTGTTGCTAACGGGCAACGAGGAGACGGGAGAAACATCAAAGAGACGGGCGAAACACGGCGAAGATGAGTGACAGGCATAGGAGGCGAGTGAGAAATGGTAGAGACAAGTGAGACACAGAGGAAACGGGCGAGACACAGAAGAGACGGGCGAGACACAGAAGAGACGGGCGAGAGATGTGGGAGAGACGGGCGAGAGACGTGGGAGACGGGCGAGACCCAGAAGAGACGGGCGAGACATGGAAGAGACGGGCGAGAGACGTGGGAGAGACGGGCGAGACATGGAAGAGACGGGCGAGAGACGTGGGAGAGACGGGCGAGACATGGAAGAGACGGGCGAGAGACGTGGGAGAGACGGGCGAGACATGGAAGAGACGGGCGAGAGACGTGGGAGAGACGGGCGAGACATGGAAGAGACGGGCGACAGACTTGGAGTCGACGGATGAGACATTGAAGAGACGGGCAAGACATGGAAGAGACGGGCGAGACATGGAAGGGACAGGCGAGAGACTTGGAGTAGACGGATGAGACATGGAGAAGACGAGCGAGAGGCTGGCGAGAGACTTGGAGTCGACGGATGAGACATGGAAGAGACGGGCAAGACATGGAAGAGACGGGCGAGACAAGGAAGGGACGGGCGAGAGACGTGGAGTAGACGGATGAGACATGGAAAAGATGAGCGAGAGACGTGGGAGACGGGCGAAAGACTTTGAGTAGACGGATGAGACATGGAGGAGACGGGCAAGACATGGAAGAGACGGGCGAGACATGGAAGAGACGGGCGAGACATGGAAGAGATGGGCGAGAGACGTTGGAGACGAGAGAGACATGGACGCGACGGGCGAGAGACGTGGGAGACAGGAAGGACATGGAAGAGACGGGCGAGAGACTTGGAGTCGACGGATGAGACATTGAAGAGACGGGCAAGACATGGAAGAGACGGGCGAGACATGGAAGGGACAGGCGAGAGACTTGGAGTAGACGGATGAGACATGGAGAAGACGAGCGAGAGGCTGGCGAGAGACTTGGAGTCGACGGATGAGACATGGAAGAGACGGGCAAGACATGGAAGAGACGGGCGAGACAAGGAAGGGACGGGCGAGAGACGTGGAGTAGACGGATGAGACATGGAAAAGATGAGCGAGAGACGTG